TTGCACTACAACTATGACTACTTTAGGTTCATATCATGTTGTGCAATTTTACCGTGGGTTATCAAAATTGAAAATGTTCATGCAGTTAATGTCAGTGAAGTTTTATAAATGGCAAATAATAACTTCCTAATGATTCTGAGAGATTATAAACTTTGCCATGATCCTTGATGTAATAAAATCTAATTTAATCTCCACAGGGAAAAAAAAAGAAAAAGAAGTCCCATAGACTATGTGGACTAAAAACAACAGACATTTGTCTCTAATAGCTCTGGAGGTTGGAAATCCATGCCAGCATGGTGGGGTCCTAGTGAGGATCCCCTTCCCAGTTGCAGTCCACCAACTTCAGGTTCTAATTTCATATGTAGAAAGAGGAAAGCCAGAGCAAGATCTAATGTTTCTTCTCCTGAAGGCACTGTACCCATTCCAAAAGGCTTCATACTCATGAGCCTATTTTCCTTCCAAAGGCGTCATCTCCTTATACCATTATATTGAAGGTTAAAATTTCACCATATGAATTTGTGGAGAGAACACAAACATTCAGTGCATAATAATAATAATGTATCAATATGAATGCATTAACTTAATAAATGTACCCTATTAATTTAAGATCTTAATAATAGTAGGAATTGGGTATGCGATATATGGAAACTTTGTAATATTGTGATTTTTCTATAAAGCTAAAGCTGGTCTTTAAAAATAAACTATCAAGAGAAAGACTCATAGACAGAGAGCAGGCAGATGAGGATGAGGTGGGAGATTTGGAGAGTCTGAGCAAAAATAAAGGAAAAAAAGAAAGAAAGAAAGCTCATGATCATGGACAGCAATTTGGTGATGGTGAAGGTAGAGGGTGATGGGTGGACATGGAAGTGGGCATTGAGGGGATAATTGGTGATGGAAAAAATGAATTAAAATAAATAAAAAATTAGTATTTGAAAAATAAAGCAGAAAGATGAAAATTGAAGTAAACTTAACAAACCAACCTACAGGATGTAGTAACTCATAGTTTTCTGCCAGTAACAATGAATCTGGTTCTTGTTCTCTGAAGCTGGTGTGTGGAAAGCATGTCCCTTAGGCAGTGATAGAACTAAGCTTATCATTAACCACATCTGTACAACTTGGTCTTTGCTTCCTTGAGGACAGCTACTAGAGTGTCATGGGCTTTGAGACCATGCTAAATCTCTAGACGCAGTCCTCAAAATATGTCAAAAGTCCACCATAATGATGATAATTATATTCAATGACAAAACAGGTTGGAAAATGTATATAGTAGTTAAAAATTATCAGCAGGGCCACAACCGGTTTGGCTCAGTGGATAGAACATTGGTCTGTGGACTGAAAGGTCCCAGGTTTGACTCTGGTCAAAGGCATGTGCATTGGTTGCGGGCACATCCCCAATGGGAGGTGTGCAGGAGGCAGCTGGTTGATGTTTCTCTGTCATCCATGTTTCTAGCTTTCTATCCCTCTCTCTTCCTCTCTGTAAAAAATCAATAAAATCTATATTTTAAAAAAATCATCAGTAGGGAGTCATAGGGACTATTGAACTGGATAACAGATGGTCTTTTTGAAGTCATAATAATTTGAATTATCTTAAAACACAGAACTTGACAAACAAAATATTTTTTGACTATCATCAGTCTGGATCACAGAGTTGACTCAAAAATAAAATCCTCAAAGATAAAAAAATTATCTAATAGTAAAAATCTGCAGGTATTAATCTCTTTAATAAATTTCATTGTTCCATTCAGGCCTATTTGCTTTAGATTAGGATTAGATAATCAGTATTTAACTACATATGATAAACACAAGATATTTTAGCATTTTTGTATGTATAGTTCTAGAGTTGAGAAATACCAATAAAATACTATTCTATAAATAGGATTGAAAAGTCAAATTATTCTTTAATTCTAACTTAAAACACGGTTAAAATGAAATGTAACAAAAGAGGTACAGACTGAAAGAAATCAAGAGAACAAAATGTTAATGACTGCCCCTTTTCACTCTGTCTTCCCTAAGCAACCTACAGGTGGCTCAGTTGATATGCAGAGCTTGCTTCACTTTTTCCAAGATCTTTATATATATATAGATAGATAGATAGATAGATAGATAGATAGATAGATAGATAGAGATAGAGATAGATAGATATTTATATACCAATTGTCCCTGTGGGTGTTTGACCATTCAACTGCGAGATGGATTGCTCACTATGATATGAGCTGACCAGCAGGGAATGGAGAGCAATGAAGGGAGGTCCAGCCCAGCAGCCAGCAGCTATCAGCCAGGGAAGGTAGGCCCATATCTATCTGTCTATCTATCTATCTATCTATCTATCTATCTATCTATCTATCTACCTACCTATCTATCTATCATCTATCTAGCTATCTAGCTATCTATCTAGCTAGCTAGCTAGCTATCCATCCCTACATTGCCTTTTGTTTTTGTTTTAAAATATATTTTTATTGATTTCAAAAAGGAAGGAAGTGGAAGAGAGAGATAGGCTGGCAGCAGGAAGGCCCCAACAGCCCTGATTGCCAGGCCTCTAGGAGAAATATAAGCACTAAAGTGGATTTCTTCAGGACCAGGTTTTGGCAACCCAGTCAGTACACCATTAGCTCCTGTGTTGTTCTAACTATGTTTTCCAAATAATTTCCCTCAATCCGTCCTGTAGTAATGTCTCCTTATATCCATGTTCTGCACTGGCCTAGATCAGAAGACAGACCTACTTAGTCCTGCATTACTTTGCATGTTCTCTGTAGTTAGGCCATCATTTACCTCAGTCCTTTCCTAGGCTTATGATTCTAGCTTTCATCTGAAGCATTTATTGGATTTACTAGACCAGACTAGTTCCTGGCAATTTCATTCTTTAAAGCTAAAGAAAATTCGTTATCTTACTTGTCCCCATCCCTTACAAAAATGCTATGACATTTGGACATATTCTCACTCCCAGTATAAACTGATCCATTACCTGGCATTACATGTCCACAACAATGTAGTTTCCTACAATACCTGTACTAGTTGGCCTAAGCCTTCACTAAAGACTACAAAGTTTCAATTATAAAAGATAAACAAATCCAAACAGAAATGGCTGTCAGCCTCAGAGTGAGCAGGAGGCTTTGTTCTGCTCCAGGCTATAAAGTTTCATTTATAGAAGGTAAATAAATTCCAGATATCAGGGATTCTTATTGTGTCACTGAGGGGCGTGGCCAGCCTACAAACCACCACAGGCCCCTTGCTCAGGCCAACCCACATCACAAGGGAAGCCCCACCATAATCATACTACAAGTGATACCCTGAGAGGAGAAAAGGAGGAGATGAGGAGGTGGAATGGGGAAGGCAAGGAGGTGGCTATATCAATAGGAATCAGTTAAAATACCAAGGCAACCCTGAGAGGCTGTGAAGTTTGCAAATCCTCACAACTCTCAGCATCTGAGTGGTGCCACTACATTGTGCCCTAATGGTGAGGGACTGAATCAGTCACCTAAGGTTTGCCCATAGGGGAATATGTCCTTGCTGAACAAATCAATATTAATGAAGAAAAGAAGCAGTCAATTTTCTTTAAGATCCGGGTCTTCCTTACATAACTGGCTTCCCTTTTTTCCTCTCCTCATTCCATTCACTGCTTTTCGTACAATGCTCAAGAATGTCAAGAACCCAAATGGACTATGTTCTCTTAACTCTCATTACCTTTTACTTGTTTTTTCCTCCATAAACAAGGCAGCCACCCTTTCTCCCCACATCATTGTTTTTACTTCAACTCATTACCAATTTTAGGTCATTGCTTTGAGGTTGTTTCTTTATAAATTCATCAAAGCTGTAGTAGCTCCAGTCACTAATTGTCCATATCTTGCACCAAACTGCACCATCTTTGAAATCAGAGATAAAATCTTATTAACACAGCAATCACAGCTCCTTCTAAACTATTGGCATTAACATACAATGGATATATATATTAAATAAGTAAAAGAACATTGAAGTTCCTAAAATAGTAGAATTCAAAACAAGAGTAACCCTAGCAGGTCTGGCTCAGTGGATAGAGTGTCAATATGCAGACTGAAGCATCCAGGGTTTGATTCTATTGAAGGGCACATGCCTGAGTTTGCGGGCTCAATCCATGGGGAGTGTGCTGAAGGTAGCCCATGAATAATTCTCTCTCATTATTGATGTTCCTAGATCTCTTGCTCTCCCTTTAAATCTGAAATATATATATATATATATATATATATATATATATATATATATATATATATATATATATATATATAATTTCTGGTCCCTAATGTTGCTTTCTTCTTCTGATAGACCAATCCCTTTAAGAACGAGTACACTTTACCGAGAAGTTACTTGATAAATATTTGTGAGACAGAATGAAAGGGCACAAATTTCATTCCATTGAATATACATTCCAAATCTTTTGAAAAGTTGTACTTTGTTCCTTGAGAGCAGAAACTTTCTACAACTCTTAATAAAGAGCTGCTCATAAAATATGTCCCATTAAAAGTGGACAATTCTCTCATACATCATTGCACATATACTTTACATAAAAAATTAATCATACAATTTCAGAAGTGGTGCCATAAAAGAATAATCAAAAATGACTTTACTCTTACAGCTGGAAGATGGTACTATGATAAAGTTATTTATAAGTATAAAGAAATACAACTGAAAATTGTATCAAACTGAGAAGCTTCACTGTTTAAAAATATATTAAAGCAAACATGCTTTTGAATGAAATTATATTATTTTAAAGAAGAAATATAGGTTCAATTGCACTGAGAATTAGATAAGAAACCAATGGGACTCAGCCTTGTTCACAAAGAGAGACTGGAAAGCTCCAGGTGGTGGTATTTCCTCTGACCTTATACAAGAATGAGTTGTTGAACAGGTCTCCTGTCGTGATGGTATAAAAAGGCAGAGGTGCTCTGCATCCTGCACAAGTCCCTGAGGACAACAGACCTCAGCAGCATCCAGGAGAATCGCTCATAAGAAACCAACTTGCTCTAACCATGACTTCCAAGCTGGCTGTTGCTCTTCTGGCAACCATCCTGCTCTCTGCATCTCTGCACGCAGGTAAGCACATCTTTCCCATGCAGTTTTCCTGGGTTTTATGTGCAGTTTTTCTGGGTTTACCACCTTAGATGGTAGATTATTCTTAATGTTTTGATTAAAAACAAAGAAACATTTTTTATTCAAGAATAGAAAATAATCTTTGCAGTCATTTAATGGCCATTAATGAAAATGGAGTTCTAATTATTTTAGGCTGTATCTATACAATTAGAAAAATGTAATGCTTGATTAATACAGACATTCTGTTCTTATCATTTATACTCTGTAGAATGCATATCAATGCTAATAAAAGGGTAATGTCATCTAACAGATAATCTTCTTGATATCTTTCCTGACAAAGCCACAGAGACTGAGGGCCCAGGCTCAGGCAGGTAAAGGTGGCTTTGAAGGGCCCAGTTGCAGCCTTGATGGGCCCAGGGTCACCAGGCAGTGGCAGCAGAGGCAGGGTAATGGAGGCAGTGCCTTCCCCTGATTTGTCAGGTCACCTCCTACAAAGGGAGGCCAGACTGTGGTTTAGGCCATGGGCAAGGCTGAGGCAGTTAGGGTCTATCAGGCTGGCAGGGGAACAAGTTAGGGGCGATCAGGCCAACAGGCAGAGGCAGTTAGGGGCAATCAGGCAGGTAGGCAGGCAAGTGGTTAGAAGCCAGTAGTCCTCAGCAACTGGGCCTAGGCCAGCAGTCAGACATAACACCAGGGGTCCCAGATTGGAGAGCGTGCAGGATGAGTTGAGGGACCTCCCCAGTGCATGATTTTTTTTTGCACCAGGCCTCTAGTATTTAATATAAATGAATAAGTTAGAGTGTATCTTATTGGAAGCCACAGTGACCTATAATATATATTAATATTGAGCAAGATAACTCAGGTAACTTTACACTGTGTACTATTTTACTGAAAATCTTCAGATAGCTATCAATTTCCTTTTGATTTAAGGACACCCTGACAGAACATAGACCTTTTTGACATTCATTTTATGAAATACAGTTTAGAATATTTATGATATAAAGGTATTGTTTTTTTTCTCTTCTCTCAAGAATTGAAAATTGTGTTAAGATATAAGGAACTTCCTTGCAACTCATTTATATCTTTCTATTAATTCTTTCTGAGGGCAATTTCCCCATTTATGAATATTAGGTTGCATACTACAGATAGCACTGTGGTATCACAGAGCATTAGGGAATATCTAGTAGGAAAAAAATCTTAAAGATGTCAACATTGCACAAAGACAAATTCAGTCTTTGTGTAGAGGATATTCAATGTTATCAGGAGTGACTGTTTTGAAAACTGAGAAAAACTGATGTCAGAGGCAAGGAGAATATCCAGCCTTCAATTTCAAAATGAGTTTTCTAAAGATGTGATGTTTGTAAAACACACAGTCTTCTAGTTATCACATTGGGATTAAAGAGGTTGTAGCTAGCAGAACCCTCCCTATTGTTGAAATCAATCTATAATAGTTTTTATTTTTTTCCCCACAGCTTCATTTCTCTTTTATGTAGAATGCCAGTGCATTGGTACGCACTCTGAACCTTTCCACCCCAAATATATCAAGGAAATGAAAATTATTTGGACTAGACCACAGTGTGATCATATGGAAATCATGTAAGTTTTTTGAAAAGTGATTAGATATCTTCCTTTAGCTAACCTAGAACTGAGGAAGGTGGAAGCATCCAACAAAGATCTAGGTACTAGGAATACAGTAATGGCTTAAACAGAAGGACATATTCTGGGTATGAATGGCATTTACATATGGTCACTCCCATGATTCATAGCTCTAAATTGCTTTTGACTTAGACTTCATGCCCATACTTAAGGGACAATGACTGGAGTGGCAAAGGGGTGTCTGAAACTGCTAAATGTTGATTTTAAGCATATCTCTTTCATTGCAGTGCAAAGTTGGAAAATGGATTAAAGATCTGCCTGAACCCTGAGGCAAAATGGGTGCAAAAGGTTGTAAGTGTATTTTTAGAGAAGTAAGTATTAGTTGTTGTTGTTTTATTTTTAATTTAGATTTTCATTTATCCTGAGATACATAGTCCAAAATTCAATCTATAAATTTCCTGCTGCTGCCAAGAATATTTTTTGGTAACTTCCTCTTTAATTCAAAATAAACAGCAGCAATAGTGAGTTTATAGTACCTAGTGACTGAGAAGACCACACATCTCAGTTTGTCCAGGGGAGTCTAGGTCTGTGCCTGGTCCCTGTGCCATGATTATGATTCAGTTTCATTCTCAGAAGTGTCCTGCTTTGAAGGATCACTTATCAGGTCTCTCTATTTATAGTTGAAAGTATAGAACACTTCTAACATATGACTATTTAAGACTATATTAGTTTCTGTATTATATATAAGGACCACACTTGACTCCTGTTAGAACATTGTTGATCTTTATATTTTCTTTATTTATTTTCAGAGCTGGGGAGAAAGCGCCTTAAAAAAGAAAAGCACTCTCCATGGGTTCCAAGAATTCCTCAATAAAGATGCCAAAGAATCTTCTAACCAATCTATTTTACTGTTTCACATATTGTTTGGTTTTGATGTAGAGATCTCTGATAAAATACAGGATGCCTGGTTAGATTTGAATATTAGGTAAAACAATGAAGTGTTTCTTTCAATGCCCCATGATATATCTACAACATACTTATTAAAAACAAATAAACAAACAACCAAAAAAAAAAAAAAAAAAAAGCAAAACTCACTGCTTTCAATAAATTCAAACTTAGCCAGAAATCCTGTATTTTTTGGGAGAAAGGTGTTAAATATTGCAACCTTAGTCTGCAACTCTAAAACATAGTAAAATTCATCATCAAAGTCATCAAGTTTTTGTATTTCTTTGTTTCAAGATCTATAGTTTTATCTCTTCAGTTGTCTGAAAATAATATTATTTAGAAAACGCAAGTGCTTCCTCTCAGCGTTTTTATACTATGGTAAAAAATAGAACTTTCATTTGTATAAAAACAGAACTTCTTTCCAGAGAAGGCTGCAAACACTAGCCATTGAGAAATAGAATTTTCTGAACTCCCCAGTGTATTCCATTTTGCTAATAAGGCTGACTTCAGATTTTCTTTCTTTTCTTTCTTTTTTTATTTTTAATAAGTTTATTGTTTTTTTACAGAGGAATGGAGAGAGAAAGAGAGTTAGTAACATTGATGAGAGAGCATCATTGATCAGCTGCCTCTTGCACACCCCCTACTGGGAATGTGCCTGCAACCAAGGTACATGCCCTTGACCAGAATGGAACCTGGCACCTTTCAGTCCTCAGGCCAATGCTCTATTCACTGAGCCAAACAGGTTTCAGCTGACTTCAGATTTTCAATGCACTAGTGCAGGTGAGTGTGAAAGAGGGAAGAGGGTACATATTATAAGGTGCTTTTCAGTTATTTAAGAAGTAAAACTGACACATACAAGGTAAAGAAAAAAATAGTTCAAAATATGAATAAAGACTACAAAAAATTTGAAAAAAAGTAAAAACAAAAAACAAAAACTCAAAGTAAAAATACAGTAATTTAAATAGAAAATTCAGTTTATGAGTTGTTGTTTTTTAACAGATAAGACACAGTTATAAAGAAATTTGGAGACTAGGAAATAGACCTAAATAACTTTGCCTGTAATTTATATAAGAGGTAAAGATAAGAAAATTGAAAGAAGAAATGAAAGCACGTGGAAAATGCAGTGTCTAGTTGGATTTTTACAACCAGAAGAGAGGGTCAAAGATAATGGTTAAGCTGACAATAGGTGGAAACTTTACAGAAAGGTTTTTAGGAAATCCAATGAACCAATACTTAAATTTACATTAGTAATAAAAAAAAAAACAAGGATTTTAGAAATGTGATCTATACTTATCCACCTACATGATCATTTACTGTTGCTATTGGGCATTTCAAATGCACTCTTAAAAAATATTTATTGTCGAAAGTATTACATATGTCCCCATATTTCACCCATTGACCACCTCAAGCCTGGCCCTGCTGCACCCAAGCCTTCACCATCCTATTGTCTTTGCCCATGGCTGATTAACTCCCATGATTATGTTTGGTTATTATCTCCCACCAACACACCCTCTTCCACCTCCCTCTGAGATGCACTTTTTTTAATCTCCACAAAGGGAAGTGAGGAAGAGGGCCCTTCCTTATTTTCTCACTACTTACTTCAAATTGCAACCTACTTCTCCCCTGTCATTAGCTCCTTGCAATCACTCTGTGTACCCGCAGCTACCATTCTATCTATGGTCAACATTACCTGTGGTGCAGAACAAGGCTCTTTCTCTTTTCTAATTTCCAGTGCTCATCAACACAGTAGTTGCAACATAATAGAATTAGTAAAATAAAAAAATCCAAGTCAAATACAAGCAGAAACCAACTGGAAATGCAACCTTATTATTTACTATTAGAGACCAAGTGCATGAAATTCATGCATAGGAGGGAGGGAGAGGGACATGTTTCTCAGCCCAGCCTTCACCCTCTCCAATTTGGGACTCCTTATATCTGGGACCAAACCCGTGGGGCCTAAACAGGCAGTCATACATCCCTCTGACAATCTAGGACTGCTGACTCCCAATTGCCTGCCTCTGCCTGATTGCCTCTAACTGCTTCTGCCTACCAGCCTAATCACTCTCTAACCACTCCCTTGCCAGCCTGATGGTTGCCTAACTGCTCCCCAGCCAGCCTGATTGCCCCCAACTACCCTTCCTTGCTGGCCTGCTCACCTAAAACTGCCCTCCTCTGCCAGCCTAGTCACCTTCTACTGCACTCTCCTATTGGCCACATTACCCCTAACTGGCCAGACTACCCTCCCCTACAGGCCATCTTGTTGTGGCTATCTTGTATCCACATGGCAGCAGCCATCTTTGACCACATGGGAGTGGCCATTTGTGTCTTGGAGTGATGGTCAATTTACATATTACTCTTTCATTACATAAGATTCTTAGAAGCAGTTTTCCTGCTAGTGTTAATTTCTCCCTGCTCATGTTCTTTTCACGCCATGTGTGGGGTTTCTTTTTATTTATCAGAATTCTGCCTAAATTCCATTTCCATATTCTGCAAGCATAAAAAATAATTTTTCTCAAATAAAATTTAATTTCAATTTTCTTTTCTACTTCTGTCTCTCTTTGTAGTTTCTCATCTTGTGGATCTCATGCATAGAGAGTAAAAACAATAAAAAAAAAAACTAGTAATTTTAATTAAATATTTGTAGGAGTGACTCATAATTCACAGAGGAGATATCAAAGTGTCATCAAATCTTACTAGACTAGATTTCCCTGATAAAATGTAACCTACTATGTTAAGGATGTACAGGAGTTACCACACAGAGGGAAGAAAGTGTGTGGGATAGAGTTCTCTAGATGGCAGTGAAGTTATTTGTAAACAGGTGCATTTTTTGAGAAGTGAAAATGTTCATAGTGCCTAGAGTTTGACATTGGAACAGAACAAGTAATAACAGATGAAGTTATGCTCTCAAAGGCTTACAGTTGAATTGAAAACTTTTAGTGAATGCTCTAAAGGACTAAGAGTTGAATTAAAAACTTTTAGTGAATTTCAAATTCCTTAATTTAAATGTTAAGGATCTCCTTAATGAAGCAAGTGGGAAGCATTAGAAGCAACTCAACAGTCCGATCTTGGGGCTCTTGAGTTATATTTGGAGAGTGAATTTAAAAAGAACTCCCAACTTTATAGCAAACTTCTTACAATGAAGTACAATTTAATATGGTCAGTGTCCAACCCTGAAAGAAAACTGGAAACATTGGCACCAACTTGGTGAATCTTCACAATGAGGACTTTTAAAAATTTATCTTTTAATTTAATCTTTATATTTTGAAGTTTTACGAAATGATTTTCGCCACTCCAGTGTTACTCTGGATAAGACAGCAAATATTCCATCAAAATGAAAATTATATATGTCAAATTGGAGATTAGGAATTATTCATATAAGCCAACAAGGAAAAATGAAGAGTAAGAGAGAGAATGTGAGAGATAAGAAAAAGCTAGCACTTACTTTGCTGAATTAAAAATGTTTAATTCATTTTTCCTAAATGATATTGTAAAATTAGTTAGTATTCAGACACAGATTTAGACACAAACTTAAACATGGAACAAATTATCTCATTCATTTAATCCATTTGTGTGGATTACAAATTATGAATCTCATTTTACCAAGGAGTAAAATGAATGTAAAGATACACAAATACAAACACACACACACACACACACACACACACACACACACACACAACAGGAGTGCACACACAGGCACACACACACAAACACACTAAAATTAAAGAGGTATAAAGAGATAATAAAAAAGTTTTCACCTTATAAATACAGCAATTATATAATTCTATAATTCAGCCCATCAGTAGATGAGTGCTTGAAAAAAGCTGTGGTACAATTTACACAATGGAATACTATGTTTCTGTAAAAAAGAAGAATCTCTAACCACTTGCAATAGCATGGAAAGTCTTGGAGACCATTATGCTAAGTAAAACAATCCAGTCAGAGAAAGACAAATTTCACATGACTTCACCTATATGTAGGATCTAATGAACAAAACAAACTGATGAACAAAACACGTCGAGGGCAGATACATGAAATAGACTGACAGATTTTAGAAGGAAGAGGGGTTGGAGACCAAGAAGAAACAAATCAAAGGATTTATATGCACATATGTATAGCACATAACATAGACAATACTGTGGTGCAAGCCTGCGGTGTGTTGAGAGAAGACTGGAGGAGAAAAGTGAGAGGGAGTAATAGGGGACATCTGTAGTGGTATCAACAATAATAAATAATCTTAAAAAAGAAAAGACGTCTATCATACATATATTTCATATACAACATAGAAAACCAGGTTATTTTCATAATTAACTATTTTGTTCATTAGCAATACATCAAAAAATAGATTCAGAAGTTGAAGTCATCTAAGAAAAGTTGTTTATCCTAAAGATTTGGGTAAACATTTTATTTAACTCAAGATTTGGGTAAAA